AAAAAAAAAAAAAAAAGAAATGGACTAATACAGAGCCCTAATAAAAACGCTGAGCCCCAAGGCCTGCATGAGGCTCTCTGGCTGTCAGTGCTCCCTGCATGTTGTCGCACGTTGATACTGGGAGTGTGACACGTCCAGACTCCATGGAGAGAGAACATGGAGGCTTTGCATGTGCGTCTCTTTTCTTGGCTGATTTGAGTCTGTATTTCTCTGTAACCATGAGTATAACAGATTTCAGTAAGTCTTTCTAGTGAGTTATTGAAACTGAGGCTGGGTGGTCTTAGGAACCCCCCAAACTTGCAGTTGGTGTCAGTAGCAGCATCGCAGTTTAGCTAATTCCGAGTGTGTCGAGAGAAGAGACAGAACCTAGGACGAGACACTCAGGATTAGCATTTTCCAGATCCTTGGCCGTTTGTGGGTTTCCCAGTCCTGGACAAGAATCTTGGCCTGGGGGCTGGTGTGCCCCTTCCAGGCTGCTTCTGTAAAGAGTGCAGGCGTGTGTTCAGCAGTGCAGCCTGAAGCTATACTAGGTGCAGTGCTTTTACTGGACATTGTTACTGACGATCTGGTGAATCATCTTAGAAAGACTTTCAGCATCCGTGCGTCTCATCTGCAGGTGGGACCCAAAACACAAGCGAGTGTGTCGGGCTCTGTGTTCACCCAGGATGCCCCCAGGCCCCTTCCTCTTCCTGGTGTTTCCCAGTATTGAATTCCCTGCACTGGCACTGGAGGGCAGAGATGAGAACTCTGGTAAATGCCTTCCTGGGCTGTTTGTTGGCATTTCATAACGAAACGTCTTCTCTCTGGGAGGCACACCTCACCCCACACACAGCCCCCATTGGCGAAGCTCTGTTGCAGTTTGTTAGAGAGCAGGCCTGTCTGCCCTCCTTGCTTGAAGTGGGTGGGGTGAAGGAAGCAGCCCTCTAGGGTGAGGAAGCTGCACGGTCTCCGTGGTCCTTGTGCTGAGCGTTCACCTCAAGACCGCGATTTCTTTTTTTTTTTTTTTTTCCCTTTTTGTCTTTTTTCGTGACCGGTAACGGGATCGCAANCTCCTCGAGAGCAGGGCTTTGGTAGGTGTTGGTGAACACTGCATCCCTGTGCCCAGCCCTGTGTGTGTCCTCAAATATCTGTTGAATGAGTGGAGGACAGGGTGTCCTCAGCTCTGTCACGTTGACAGGGCACAGCTGCAGTGCTCAGTCCCAGGATGGGGTGTGAGGTCACCTGTGGTGCATGCTGCAGACTCCTGCACAGCCCATGCCCTGCACTGTCCTCGGGGTCCGGGTGGTGGCCTTGTCTCCAACTTGGAAGCCGCAGAAACCATGTGTGTTACCTGCTGGATCGGGTACTTGCATCTGGGGCAACTGAAGAAATGGTTTTCGTATAGATGGAGAGGGGGAAGCAAGTTGAAGGTGGAGGTTGAGCTTTTAAGATGTGAGCTCACGTAGACTTTTGTTCTCCTTAGGAAGGAGAAGTATGTGAGCTTCAGAAATCACAGGGGAGCGCAGGAGCCTCTCCTAGCTGCACTCCGAGTCTCTCCTCCTCCTGGTTGGAGCCTTTCCGTCTTCCTTGCCTCTTTCCTTCCTGCCATCTCCTCCCTCCATGACCTGTGTGAATAGCCATGGCATCACTAATGAAAACGCACCATGTTTTCTAGGATTCCTGGCCGGCTCAATGACAGGAGGACTCCTTTGGGTGAACTCAACTGGATCTTCACGGCAATCACAGACACCATCGCATGGAATGTGCTCCCCCGGGGTGAGGCTGCCTGGCCAGGTGCTGGGCGAGGGGAGGTGCTGCTTGAGAGCACGGGTGGAACGCCGACCCTTGGATATGAGGGGCATCAGATAGGATCAGGAAACTGATGGGGCTGGGGGAGGGGCATGAGAAGGAGAAGGCAAGACCCTAAAGAGGCTTCTGCAAGGTGGAATGAGCTGCCGTGTGTCAGGCACTTAGAACAGGCGTGCGTGTAAGCCCATAGTGGCAGCATTTGCTCTGACCACATCAAAGTCTTTTCCAGGCAGGTTTGGGGCATATCTTTCTTCATTCATGGGCACTGTCATATTTGTTAAGACCAGAATTACTACTGTAAGACTTGTTTGTATTTCTTTTTATTAGTTGGTTGGTTTTTGGTGTTTGTGTATATATGTGTGTTTGTATTCATGTGTGTGTGTATTCATGTGTGTTCGTATTCATCAATGTGTGTATTCATGTATGTGTGTATTGCCAATGGGAAATGTGCATATTAGTCCCAACTTGTTAGTAATAACTTTTGATGGAAGTAAATTAGTGGATTTGGCTCTCAATGCTGGACACAAGTCACTGAAGCCTTCTTTTCATCTTTATCTGCCCTCAGATCTCTTCCAAAAGCTCTTCAGACAGGACCTGTTGGTGGCTAGTCTGTTTCGAAATTTCTTATTGGCAGAAAGGATCATGAGGTCTTATAACTGCACTCCAGTCAGCAGCCCCCGACTTCCCCCAACATACATGCACGCCATGTGGTAAGTGTCTCAGGTTAGACAGTGCCGGACTTATGGTTAAACTCTCTAAATAGTGTGCTTTCCCCCATTTCTACAGTAGTATAGGTTCAATGAAACTATATGAAGCAGAGTAGAAAGGCTTGACACAAAGCTGGGAGACCCCGAGCGGTATTAATACGTAAAGCTAAACAAAATGGCCCCAAAGGCCTCTAAATGGGACAGCTGGGTCTTCTTCAGAAGCAGGGGAGCCTTGGAGGGCCGTCCAGGACTGGGCAGGGACCAGCGGCCTCCAGAGCCCTTGTAGTTCTATACCTCAGGAGGGTGGCACTTTGTGAAGGGTCTCTAACCCTGTAGAGACTAGTACTGAGGAAAGAAACTGCCAACTGAGTTTCTGAAGTGCACCCAAGATTGCTCCAGAAACTTGAACCTGTCGGGTTCACGACCAATTAATTTGTTTACTTATCTCACACACACACACACAAATAGGCAAACACAAATCATACACACACAAATATGCACACACAAATATGCACACACAAATACACACAAATATGCACATACACAGATCATCATACACACACACACACGAGTGTCATCTGTTATGACTATTATAATTTTCTCCCATTGCTGCACTACTGGAACTTATACTACTAATAATAGCAGTAACACTGTTAATAAAGTAATTTGGTTTTTAGTCTAGACATTATGTATCAGGACATTTGGCCTTTTCCAGTTTTGTTGCTCTCCTAATACAAAGAGTTTGGACAAATTCTAAAATGGAATAATAGTAAAGAAAAATAGTGAGTCTGAGTTCTGTCCATCAGTGGGAGATATTGTAATACAAATATTTAGGAAGAGCAGTTCATTTATGTTTAGCCTTATAAACCATTGTGTGCTGTGTGTTCATGGTCAGGTTTATTTGTGCTAGTGATTTTTTTCCTTTTTTTAAATATGTATGTACCACTTACTTCCCCAAACTCTGGAAACCCAGAGAATTAAGGAGTTCGTAAACTTACTACCCATCATCCACTCAAGAAAAATTAGAAACTAAATATTCTTATTTATATGAGGTAAATCAAAATGCTTTGTATCCAGAATAGCACTTGTGCTGTAAATAGAAAAAGTTAAAACATGCATAATACATCTTCTTTTTAAGAGTAAAGAGGATAATAAATGGAGAATCCAAGAAGCTGAAGTAGACTTCCATAGAAGAACCAACTATGCAACAGTTTAAACAATGTGTAAATAAAATGTCAGACCACACAAATTCAATTTCCTTAACTCCATGAATAATGAAACTGTAAGAGGGAACATTAAAATAAACATTTTTGGAATAAAAAATAAACATTTTTGGAAGAGTAGATCCTCAAAACAGCCTTATTCTCTTCAGAAAAGTAATGTCTTAAATCCTATTTCTTCTGAGATGGGTTTTTATAAAAAGGAAGGGAAAAAAGAAACAGCACTGAAGGGGACAGTGCCCAGGTGGTCACAGCTCAAAAACTAGGTCAGTGCCAGGGACCAGGCACAAGGGGCCACAGACACGGGGAAGGGCACCAGGCTGTCCTCTCCTCCCTTCCACCGATCACCCTGCGAGTGAGTCCATGGGAGCATTTTCCCTTTCAGTGGATGTTTTCTGTCCATATAAAAACGCCTGCTATGTGACGTGCACAGATGTATAGAGCTAAAAAGAAAAAGAAAAGTTGGATTGCATTAGAGTAGATAGTAAAAGACCAGAGCTAGAGCAAAGTCAACAGTGAGGACAGGTGAGCGGCACAAGAACAGGAACACCGGGGAAGGAAGCATGCGGCCAGACTGTCGCACAACAGCGTCCCGCCTCTTGTCGTCAGTCTAGAGATGTTTTTCTAGTATTGGCCTCTTAGGATATTAAATGCTGTGTTACGTAAGATCCAAGCCTAGGCCTCACAGAGGCGGCTCACGGTCCTCCCTCTGTCCTACAAGCCTTGCTCCCCACAAAGCTCCTAAAGCAAGTCCTCATCAGTGTTTATTTGCTGTGCTGGAGAAACACGAGATAGCATAGCCATCAAAAGAGGCCCAGAAAAACCTGGAAAAGCATCACATGAGTATTTGAGGTACCTGGAATTGCTTTTGAACAGTCGTGAATGCGGATACTTGGGTTTTTCTCCTTTCCTGGAGTTCCTCCTGGGCCAATGTGCACCTGGAAGACTTAAGTATAATTCAGTGATTCAGCCTTCCTCATCCACCATCCTGCAGTGCAGTCTGTGGCTTCACGCCTCCTTGTTCTCTTTTAGGCACATTCTGGTTATTGCAGGTTGGGTTCTGTGGGAAGCACACTCTGAGACGGAGGTTAGCATTACAGTGCTGCTGGGGTGGGGCCAGTCCTGGGGTGTGCTGTGGAAGGGAAGGAGAGCAGGCAGGGTTAGGCAGAGAGGGAAGTTGTGGAGAGCCAGCCCAGTGAGTTCTGGTGATGGGCTGAGAGGGGAGCTGGCTGGCCTGTCACCCTCATCAGTGGGTCGTAGCTACAGGCCAGCTGAGAAGGGGACCTGATGGCCAAGTGCTATCTGCCTGGGGAAGGGGGAAGTCCCAGCCCCCAGCACACTGGTCAGGTTCTTACCGTAAGAGGAATTCTCACCTGCCTCACGCTGAGGCCCCCAGACTCTTGTTACGGTGGGGTCTTTCGTTGGCTGGGAAGCACAGAACAGAGCTCTTCTGCAGGTGCCCAGCTCTCTGGCTCTCATCCAACCCGTTTCCAAGAAACACATTTCCTTTCCTCATCCCAAAAAGTGACTCTTTCCAGGTGATTTTGCAGAGCTGGTCTCAGGCCATGCTGCTGGTGGCGTCCACAGCTCTGGGCTAGACAAAGGCCACCAGCAGCACCCCGGCCACTGGCACAGGCGAAGCCCCAGGACTGCCAGGGGTGGGAGGGAACTTGCAGAACATCCTGTTAATGTAGAGTCTCAGCAGTGCCCAACCGCCATAGTGCCTAAGCTGGGGTGGAGAGGTGCCCATCCTCCCTCCGTGTAGCCGTCCCCCAGCAGGGAGTGCGGGTCGGGACAGGGAGACGTGCCCTCGGCCCCCTCCTACTGCTCCGGATCGTTTGCTGCCTCGATCGTTTCCTCATAACTGAGTTTGACAAACGTTTCAGATGAGAGAAACGTCCTGCTGCAGCAGGGGAAGGGAGGGGAGGGCCACACTGCCCGCGAGACGTGCGGGCCACCACCACACTGTTGTCGTCACGGTGCTGGGCACACCTGCGGCTATGCCCGTGTAGAGATGGGAGCCGCCTGCCTGGGTGCCTACCATGGGGGCTGGTTTTGGGGTTTACCCTCACGTGGCCAAAGCAGCATTGTGCGCTTTGAGGGTCTTTTCTTTTTTAAATCCACACCATAAGCACGTGTCTTGTGTACTGTTTTGCGATTGAAGTGGATATGAGGAAGCCCTTCAGTCAGCCACCCCACCTCGCAGGAAGGAAGTTTCAATGCATATAACTCATGGCACACCTGGACTTCGGAAAAAAGCAGCAAATGTGCTAGAATGAAGAAGATTTGTGCTGAAAGAAAAAATCTAACAAAGTGCATACATACTGTCAGCTCTTTTTCTGATGGACATACCACTGTTTAGTAACAGTAATTCCCTCCAAGCATCATGAAGTGGAAAATAATTATTTTTCAGACTACAAAATTTCATTTGTGCTGAAAGAAAAAATCTAACAAAGTGCATACATACTGTCAGCTCTTTTTCTGATGGTCATACCACTGTTTAGTAACAGTAATTCCCTCCAAGCATCATGAAGTGGAAAATAGAAATTTTGTAGTCTGAAAAATAATTAAGGGGGCCGGCCCGGTGGCGCACTGGATAGTGCGCCGCTTGGGAAGCGCGGCGGCACTCCTGCCCGAGGGTTCGGATCCCACATACGGACCGGTTCCCGCTCACTGGCTGAGCGAGGTGCGGGAGCAGCGCCGAGGGTTGCGATCCCGTTGCCGGTCCCAGTCTGGTACAGGCGCGACACTGAGGGTTGCGATCCGTTGCCGGTCACAAAAAAAGACAAAAAAGGAAAAAATAATAATAATAATAATAATTAAGGAGGGTCTAATTAGTTGCCCGTTGCTGTGTAACAATATTACCATAAACTTGGGGAACGCACACAGCCACATTGTTGTTGTCGCAGTTTCTGTAGGGCAGGAGTCCGGACACGGCCTAGCTGGGTCCTCTGGGCAGGGTCCCCAGCATGGCCTTCTGCTTCCTCAAGGGACAGGGAGACTCATATCACATCACATATAATCACATCTGTCTAATCATGGGCACTGTCACCTTGGCCGTAGTCTGCTGGTGAAACATCACAGGTCCCGCCCACACCCCAGGGGAGGGGACCACACCAGGAGGCAGGTGTCCTGGGGCCACTGTTAAGAGTCTCTGCACCATCAGCAGCATCTCACCAGGGTGTACAGTCCTTAACTATGCCAAAGGCCAACCACCAGAATGGCCACTGGCCAAGCAGTAGCGTGGAAGGCAAGGGCGAGAAGAGAGCTGCCGAGCATGGGAAGGCGGCCTGCGCTGCGTGTGCCGAGGCAGACAGGTCACCATAAATGATCGAAGGGTGGTGACAGAGAAACAGTAATTCCAGTGACTCACGAATTAAGTGCCTACTGTGCATCAGGCACATTCTAAGGCTTTACATGTATTAAGTTGTTTGCCCCTTGTCACAGTGTTGTGTTGAAGGCATTATTATTATTATTATTTTATGCCCATTTTACAGATGAGAAATTGAGGCACAGAGAGGGGGTGAGGAGCCCGCATGGCAGGGCCAGGCCATGACTTGGCAGCCTTGCACCAAACTGTCCCCTGCCAACTTGGTGGGATACACGTTCACAGTCTTCTAGACTAGGCTGAACTTTAGACACACCCCTGGAACATGAGCACACCCTGGCTGAAATGACATTTAACCAGGGAACAGAAGAGCTAGATGACCTGTCAGCTCTGGTTACAAGTGGCCGTGGTGCTGGTGGATCTCCAGCACTGTTGTCTCTGCATCGGAGCGAGTC